ATCATGTCTCTTTGGCTTTCTTTCGTTCTTACGCAGTTGAAACTGGAGAAACACCTCAGGCTCCAAGCACGTACCAGCTCACCCCGACGCCCCTCGCCCCATGACTATCTCGCGCTGACCGCACTACGCAATACACCAGGAAGCCTGGACACGTACTACTACGGCCTGATGTGCGAAAAGTACCCTGGGATCGAGCAGGCCAGCAGTCAGATGCTCCCTGAAGGCACGGAAAGCGAAAACACGGGGGTGGGGGAGGGTGGCGGACGAACCGAGAGGCGCCGAAAGAGCCGCGGCCGACGCCAGCAGGAGGGTGGGGGCAAAGAGGGACTCGACGGAGAGGAACGCCACCCTTGGCGTGCAAGAGAAGAAGAAAAAGAAGAAGGAGAACGAGATCGAGGACGCGGCGAAGGTCGCCGCCTCAGCAGCAACGGAGGAACTGGGTCTTGGGGCGGGCTTGGCTTCGCTGCTGGGTATGCCTTCCACCCCCAAGTATTCCGACCCCCCCACCTCCATCTACGACACCATCGAGGGGTGCGAGACTAGGAACAAGAAACTCGAATACTCCGCCCGTCTCCGCCAAACACTTGCGGACATCAAGGAGGACACCAGGAAGGAGAAAGCGCTGGGCGACGCCGCTGACCTGGAGGATATCCAGATCATGGAAGCCGAGCTGAAAAAAGTGAGAGCCGCCCTGAAGAAAGAGGTGGCAGATAACCTTTGAACTTGGAGCGGTGTTCGTGGTTGTGGCTACGACGGAAATTTGGGCCGGGCGGGCGGGGGAGAGCAGGGGTGGTGTGTGGTGTGTGGTGGGAAGGCGTTGTTGTAGAGACTGTGCATGATTGTTGTGCATCCCTGCGCCCGTTCCTCTCTGTATCTCGCTGCTGGGTGAAGGAATAGACTCTCTTCGATTAATTGGTTGATATTTTGCCCAAGACGTAAAGAACAGAATGCAGTACCGGTGGGGCTTCCTTTCTGGCGTCGTGGGGGGCAACGTCGCGTTCTTGGCTGTTGTAATTACTTTTGATTCGCCACATGCTTGTAGGGCCGGGCGGGGTAGCCGGAGTCAACCCCGACGTGGCGGCTAGCCGTGTGGGCGCCTTATTATTATTTTTTGGTTTTGACTAGTTGCTCACAGTTTTATATTCTTGAACTGGCAGGGGGACAATTTCGCTATTCTGTATCTTGATCGTTGGGTTGTTGCCTTCCCGCGGTAGGAACGCTTTGCTCGAACGCCCACCCAGAGGCTTGTGTTTTTTTCTTGTGATGTAGCTGTATTTTACTTGTGATGTCTTGTCTTTATTAGTTGTTTGGTAGCGCCCTGCCTACAGGAGCGACAGGGTGAATTCGTCCTTTTATTGTCGACCACACACCGGGTGATGTTGCCGGAGGCAGTAGCTGCCTGCAGCAGCCAGGGTTTCAGAGCTACTGCCATGATAGGGGGTGGAGATGTATCGTTTTGTCGTTGTGTTGCATGTTCGGTTATCTGAGGTCGCTCGCCCTTCTGATTTGTACGCGACATGATACCTAGTTCGGGTTGGGCATTCGGAAAATCGTCAGTACCACTATTATTCTTGATGTAGAGATATTTTCTATAGAGATCATGATTCCGCTTCAGGAATGAATGTTGTGCATACCGTGGATTGTGTTTTCTGCAGCTCCCTGCATACGCAGGGCGCGACGGACAGTTTAGTTTTTTCTTGTCTGGCACTACGATTGTTATTTTGCCGTGCCTACCGACCCGAGGTTAGCTCCGGTGGTTTGTCGGAGCCATCCTTTCCATTTCGGCAATGGCATCTACATAACGCAGCTTGTAGAATTGTAGCGTGCGTACAACGTCCGTGTTGTGTGTTTTGGCTGGCGGTGACTCGTTGCTCTGTTTCTGCCATTCGTTTTTTTGGGGTGTTTTTGTTGGAGGTCGTGTAGCCGCTGCACGGAACGCGCCGAAGTTGTCGCTTCGGTAGGCATGTAGCTACTCGCCGCTTGAATACAGTATCTAGTGCTTTTTGTTGTCTTTCAACAGCAGTGGCTCCGCAATAAAAAGAACGTGTACTCCTACAAAAACAAACTGGAAGGACTACACACTACGGTGCCAGATGGCACGCATGCTTGATCCTCACATCGTATCGCGAGCTACCATAGGAATGAAGGTGCATGAGTGCGAAAAACGTTTGCCAGTTCGACGTCGGACGTCAACGGAGGACGACGATACGAAGTTGGGGGGGGGCGTTTCCCCCGGGTCGCCTACGGGGGGTTTCGCCCCCCTGCCGTACAAAACACGTGGCGAGACAACAACAACAAAGAGAAAAACTCACGACTAACCGGGAGAGGGTGGAAATAATCATTTTTTCGCTCCCTGCGCGACGAAACTACCGAATCTCACACGCGAGACAAAAGAAACTCCACCCAACACCAAGTCGAACAAAACACCAATCTACTGCCCCTCCCTGTATCAAACATGAACTACCTGCAACCGCATCCAGACAGAAAAAAAAAACACACACACACACAGAATACCTTAGCCTCCCCCATGCCGCCCCCTCACGGGGTCCCAGTTAATGGCAGTTACAAGTGTTTTGTGTTCCAACCGCATTGAGACTGACGTCTTTTCATTGGTCAGCCGGTTAGCGCGGTCGATGCTAATGATAAAAACACACGCACGCACGCACGTCTCCGTCCTGCAAGAGGGCATTCGAGGCGGCATGCGAGGCGCGCCTACGAATCCTGATTGGCTACGCATCTATACCATGCCCTTGCCCCTCCCCCTCCCCGGCGACCAGCAAGGCTTTGGACTACTGTCCTGCCCCCCATCTTCACGTCCTCCCTCACCCCTTCTCCCCCCCCCTCCAAGTTCAAGCACAAAGGCCAAGCCAGGCCCTCCACGGTCGCGGCGAGCCCATGGCCGATCGAGTCCAGTCCGCACAGCCCCTCCCTCGATTCCCAGCCCTTCATCAAGCCTGTCCCTCGTTCCGCACCAGGTTGTAGAGCGGGCGGTACTGTCGCTTGTTGTCCAGCATCATTCGCAGCGCCATACGGGTGGCGACGTCGCCCGACCTCGTCGGCGCGACCTTGGAGGTCGTCTGGAACCCTTCCTGGAGCGTGCCGTCTTCCGTCAGCTGGGGGCGGTCGCGCCCGGATTCCCCGTCCTCCTCTGACGGGTGGACAGGCTTCACTTTCTCGTCGCACAGGAAGTTGTGCAGACGAAAAAGTGCAGTGATGAGGCTGCTGCGCCCAGCGAACAGAACCCGCAACGGCCTCCACATAATACCCCACTGCCCAACGAGGATGCCGAAAGCTTGCTCTATCGTCAGCCTGAGTTGACTCAAAAAGGTAGAAGTTGACGGCGTCCTTGTCTCGAGGTAGCAGCTTCCCGGGGTACGGCGTGAGGAGTTGGTCGCTGAGGGGGTACGCCGCATCCCCTAGCATATAGAAGCCAAGCGGCAGGCGCGCCACGGTGTCTGACACCTTCGAGCGATTCCACGCAGTCCAGTCGTTGGTCGAACCGGCTGCGATGGCGGACATGCTGCAGAAGCGGTAGTTGGCATCACAGGTCGCCTGCACGTTCAACCCGTACGCGTTCTTGCTACCCGAGCAATAGGAGAGCACATTCGGGGTGTCCAGGGGAGTTGGAGCTTGCATCTTGACCAAAAGGCCATCTCCGGCAGCCACACAGCCAGCGAACGCGCCGCCGGTGCAATTGGCCTGAGGTTTGGGAACGAGCAAGAGTTGGCGAAGCGGTGTAGAACGCGCATGCATGCGGTGGGAGGGGGGGAGAGCGCCGGGAGGGGTTTGAGAACAATTAGCGACAGATTAGAGAGAATAGCTTTCTGCTGTTGCAATAGCATTTTTGATGAAGAGCGGCCCGATAAGGGGGCGTTCTTGCTGTGCAAGAACAAACTGATTAGAGGGATCGTGATGTGCATGTACGTACCTGAAAAACAAAAAATCGTGCACAGGGGGGCAATTTCGCAGCGCGGTGTCTGATCGTGTCTGTGCGCCGAAATTTACGCAGTGTTTCGAGCCCATTTCACCATCTAGGCACCAGACTGCAACTCAAGATTTTTCACAACAAGTAGAATTTTGCCAGAGCTGTCACAACTGCTTCCAGCTCAATCTGTGCTCGACGCATCGAGTTAGCTCAGTATCTGCGCCGAATTTGAAGTAGGGAACCAAGCGTCCCCGCCCACAATCCAAGACAGGCGTGATTCATTGTTGGTTCCGCCGGTCGGTGTGCTCAGCAGCAGCAGCTGCTGCTGCTGCTGTGGCCAAGACATGCACGCTACACAGTAACAGGGAACATGGACACACACCACCGGGAGAACGAGGTAGGAGGGTGTGCCCCATACTGTGCTGCTGTTTGCTACCGGCGAGGGAAGCGACAGGAGACAAGAACAAGAGTTGGTTGTGTTTGTGGTCTCATATGCACTTCTATTGCGGGAAGGGGATCTCTGGCATTTCCGCCGCATCCCCTCGGTCATATGTGCAAGATGGAAGAGAAGGTGTCGGGAAGTCCAAGAACGACCCTCACAGAGTGGGCGCCTGTGTGTTGAATGAGAATTCCCACTCCTACCCTCAAAATTCCGGACGACAGCACACAATATACAACAACTGCTGCCGAACTCCCGGCCCCGTACTGCTGTTGTGTACATCCTTGTCACCACCCAAAAGGCTGACATCACACCTATAAACACGGTACAAACACGTGCGTCTACCCTCACGTTGCATGCCGAAGGCGCTGTCGCCCCCGGACCTCCATTTCGCCCGCCGATAAGGTAGTGAGCTATGTCATTCCTCTACGAACCGTCGGCGTTGTGCTGATGTATGTGTTTATTACGGGCGTCTGTACTCACACACGGGTCATTCAGAGGGTGACGTGGAATAGCTTTGTTGTGTAAAACCGTGCCCGCAGTGGGTTCGTGCGGTGACCATTGGCTCGTTTATTCCACACAGCCGCAGTGTTGAGTTGGGTGTGCCAGTGTGATTTACAGAGAAGGGAGAGGGGTATTACTGTATCATCAGCTACATACACGCAGCGCAAACAAAAAAGACTCTCTCCGTTTGTTCTTGTCTGGTTCGAGCTTCGATCTACTGTAGGCAACTCCAAAGCTGTGATTTATGGTCAGACTAGCACACGGAAGGCACAGGCGGCACCCTAGACCCTCTCCAAAAAATATAGAGGTTTAAAGCAGTACATTCATCATCAATGATGGTGTCTAGCAGCGTGTTGGTGTGCCTTTTGTCCTCTCTCTCTCGACTACGACAAAAACCGCTGCCGCTCGCAAAACGCACAACACACACAAGACATCACCTACACTACAAACGCACACGCTCTAACCTCCCACTCCTAGGCTTGCCGGACGCACTCCTCTCGTGTCTGGGGAAAAAAGAACGGCCCCACCTTCGGCGTGTTGTTGATGGCGTCCACCACTTGCCACATGATGTGGAAGACGGACTCCTTCGAAATGCCGAACAGCACGGCGACATCAATGTATGACGCCCCTGCGAACATGCGCAGCGCAACTGCCAGCCGAATGTTCACTGACACAGCTCCACAGCGCGACCGCAACCCTGCACCACGCGACCAACACGAGTACGAGCGTTGAATGTAAGCTCGAAGCCCAAGCACTTGTCAGGCGCATCGCCGGAGGGACAACAGGGCACATGCCATCTACACGGCGTCTCCTGCGCTGCTTGATGTCCGTGGCGGTGCAAATTCATCTTGCGGACATCAGCGATGAGCAAGAAACATACAAGTGCAATAAACCAGCGGCTAGAGTTCGCGACGGCAGGACAACCTTAACATAAACTAACCCTGCTCTCTCAAGCGCGAGCGCACTCTGTGTGGGTATGTCTTGCGTAGAAGTCGTTGGGCTCGAGGATGGGTCGTAAAAGATCCGCGAGCTTGTTGAAGCTGTGCTCCTCCATCCTGTACATGCGTCGGAACAGCTTCCTGTGCCTCACGTCTTCCAAGTGCTCGTCCCAATCCAAGCGTCGCGGCTCGTGGGTAGGTTGCCGCGCCTTGGGTGCTAGGCGCTAAATGACAGTCGATGTGGCGACAGTCACCACCAGCACAATCGCCGCTATTGCCTTGAGCTTGTTGAGGACATCCTGGGTTTTGTTTGTTTTTTGTTTTTCTCCCATAATTGGACTCTGTCTTCTGCCCCTCTGGCCCCTATCCTCCACTTCTACTAGCTAGACGACCCAACCGGGGTCACAAAGGAGGGGGGGGTTGGACCCCCTCCTGCGGTTCATGCCTGAGGTATTTTTAGCGCGAGAAGGGTACAGCAATCCCTTCCCTCGCGACTTACGAAGTCGATTATGGTTTACTAACAAACGAGCTTTTGCAGCGCGTCGCTTTCATCCTAGACCAGGATTTATTTAGTGAGAAAAAAACTCTCTCTGCCGGGACTCGAATCCATGACCTGGCCCTTAGCAGGCTGCGAGGCTACCCACTAGACCACCGGGGCGACCGGTGTGTGTGTTGGCCGAGCGCGTGCCCGTGGGCGAAGGGAGCCACTCGATTCTGTAGGCGCACCGCGCTTTCTACGGTTGCCCATGCCCCCAACACAACCCTAGCTGGCTTCCTATGGCGAGGGGCACTCGTGTTGCGGACGTCGCAGCCCGCGCGTGCGTCTGTAAGTAAGGGTGATTTGGAAAGTGCTCCAAACCAGCTTCCAAATTTTGGAAGCTACTGGCGCCAAATTTTCGGGCCCGACTTCGTTCCAATTTTTGGCTCACCTCCCATAGACTACATAGGGGTCCAACAAAAGGTAATTAAATTATTTCGCGCGAAGCGCGAAATTCGCGCGAGGCGCGAATTTTTTGGAGAATTTTAAGCATCNTGAGGATAAGCGCTTCTGGGCTTGCTATGCGTAACCTTTTTGGTCGGGATAAACGTACATGTGATTTGGTTTGAAAACTTACTAGCATCAAGATCAGAGAGCGCGCGAACAACCACGGCCAAAAAGTAGAGATGGGCGAGGAAACCAACAACTCTGACAATGTGGATCACTGCCAATCTATCCTAGACTACTTTCTTGGATAGAGATGGATTCGTTGTGTCATATTAAGAAAACAAAAAAACAACACAACTACAAGTATTGTTGTTTCCAAGGGATCACCCGCAATGAATGGTGTTCAGAAAATCGCCCAAATATCCCGGACAATACCGTCACACACTTCATTGTGCACTTACTCACTACT